TTGTAATGGTTAAACCTCTGGTCCTCTACTAGGAAAGTAAGCTGTAATCAACCACTTAGCTGTTACTGAATCACACTTATCTCCATTTTGCCTGTTTAACTTCCCATAAGCATGCTAATTACCTCTTTAGAATGCATTGACCTCTGATTATTTCTTGCTTTATGTATCCCTTAGCCCACATTGCAGAAGTAAAAAAAAAATCCTATTGGTAAACAGTAAGGAATAATACAACCTGGTTTTGTTTTATTTATTTTGTATATAGRATGAAATGTTTACATCTTTAAGTCCTCCAAAAATCAAAATTCCAGGCACARTGATTGGATTTYATGCTGASAAGTGACACAGATGAAACTTTCTTTTATGTAATGGACTAAATTTACTGTTTCAGTAAGGTGAAAATCACATCGTTTAGGCTTTTGCCTGTTTGATTACCAAATTACAAAAATTGTAGTCATGCCTTAAGCTGTAATCTTGAGATCTTTCTGATTCACAAGRCATTCTGTGTTTGTGGGATTTGTGCAGTGAAACCTGTACATAAGTACACCTATGTTAATAACATTAATGTTTTTCTGAAGTCAAAGCATGATTGRTAGAAAAGCTGGCTCTATGCTTGAATGAGAGCATTTCACTTTCTTTTCACTGGAGGAATTTTTAGCCTGGCAGCAATAGTATTATAATAACTGCCAGCTGCTCACTTGGCACAAGAGTGCCTAGAACCAAGAGGAAAAGCCCAGTGCATTATACATATAATTTACTTTTCTCTAAGATGAAGGTTTAGGGCTCATAAATATTTTGATCTGGTCTTTGATGGCTTTTRTACACATGAGTCTGGAAATATGCATGTGGATCATAACTTGCAGATTTTATTTGGGAATACATTGGAGTGATTCCCACCAGGATAGGAAGGGAAATTATTGTGGGAGATTCTTCTGTGAGTGGGTGGTCAAGAATGAAGGAAAACCTGAAACATTAAGCAGATGGACCTTCCTTATTTTATGCCATTTATTGGGTATGCAAGATAATTATCTCCTTAAATATTGGATGGTATTGAACTGGTCTTCACACCAAAAGAAAAAGGTTCAAGATGTTCACTGTGAGGAAGAAACTCGGGAATGGAAATAAGACCTTTTTATTTTCCTCGACTCTATGCTTGCCCACCACTGTCTGGACAATAACACAGTAGAAATTAGGTCTGGAAGAGTAAACAAAAGCAATCATTGTGCTTTTCTCTATGTATGAACTCACAAAGTGCAAGACAAAGAGCATTTCTTACTCACAATGCCACTTTTCTCTTTGGTGTTTAAAATTGGCTTAAAAAACTGCAGCATACCAAAGGAGAARCCAGGAAAGACTACTGTCCTTTTARCATCATTATTTCTAAATCCTTTCATCATATCTGCAAGCAGACCATTCCGGAGTAGGTAGTAGATAAGAAAGGCATGGTGATCTCTGCTGATCTCGTTTTGGGAGAGAAGTTTGACTCTGTTTTTGTAGTCAGCTTGACCCTAAGTTTCTCATCAACAGACGTACCCAAGAAAGGTAGCACCAGGAGGTGCTATCTGTATCCCCAGGATACAAGCTTCTTGCATCTCTACCTTTAATTTCTTATAGTGGACAGTCTCCAGTGAAATTACAGATAACTGGAATTCAGGCTATTTCACCTGCATCCATGAAGGAAGGGGAAAATTCTCATTGTCATGAARACATCCTGAGGCGTGCATGGGAGTATTAATGTGGGATTTTCTGAACTCTAAAGGAGTATGTGATTTGAAGCATGTTGCTTAATTTGCTTTGTGGTTCTTTACTTAAAATAAACAATAATGCCTCCTTTCTTGGCAGTATTCCTCTGTCTTAGATTCTTTATAGAAGGAACTGTCTTATTCAAAGTCTCACACAGCAGTCAACTAATGAACCTGTGATCTCTGCTGCTACTGTAATGTAAACAAATGCTGCTTTACTATAACAAAGCTCTGCTTTATTTACTTTTTTATGAGATTTGTGTCAAGCCTGATATATTTCAAATGAATGGGGAAGCAATATTCTGATTGAAAGCAACTGCAAAAACCATCTTACTACGTAAATTCCACACTTCCTGCTGGGAGTTCCCACATCTAGTGGTTGCAGTTCACTCTAAATCCTGTTTGAGATGCGGACAAGACGGTAAAGGAATGAAAAAATGGGAGAAAGATAGATAATAAACTTACAAGTCTTCCATGCAGAACCTAGGGAGTAACTGTAAGGAAGATGTCACTCTCTCCTATTTCTTCCCCATGTTTTTGTTGTAGTTGTTTTATTGGGGCTAAGATATATCAGTGGTGCCTCTTTCCTGCCACATATGCACAACACCTGTGGTTCATGAGAATGTGGGAGGAGGTGGTTCTTTTTCTTTCCTTTATGCTTTTTATACTACTTACTCTCCCTCCCCTTCCTTCAGAAGGTACAGGGCAATGAAAGGAAGAGTTTAACCAGATTTATGCTTTTTGTTTCTTGTACAGCTGTATGTGTCTTGGGATATTACAATTGGGTCTGTTTCTCCTGCCCTTTGACTAAAGTTCCATCATATTTTTTGGTTCCCAGGCTTCTCTGACAGARGGATAATAACATGCATATGATCTGTTTCTGCTTCAGCTACTTACAGATTGTGAGTGCAGTGGGGCTGACCAGCTGCAGTTTGTTTTTTGGAGTTACTGCCTCAGTTACTTTGAGGAATAAAAAAAAGAAAATGGCTTCTCTACATGTTCAGGRTGGGAGGAGGACTTCTTACAATGCCCTGTGCAAAATAAATGTAGTTTCAAAAAATACCATCACCAAATTTTTCTTGGCTTATCTCAGCAGAGGTAGCAAAATTGAGAGTGGAATTTTGACTCTCTGAAGTAGTAAAATCAGATGACAGAATAACAACATTAAGGAGTCCCCAGAGTATGTGCTTCTCTAGGACTGTGTTGTCCCATTTGATTTGACTATTCACTAAAGGAACACTGGCCAGGCTTTCTCATCAGAACACAAACTGATAAAAACAATATTGGGTAAAGTTAGGTCTAAATGACAGTTTAAATTCTAGAATTGTAAAATTTATGAGTGAACTGTTTTATTTTTTTTGTTTGTTAACTTAGGTTTTATGTCTTCCTCATTTGTGGGGTTGCACTGTTCTAAGATGAGCTCTACTGGATGAGGTAGAGCTGTAARTGTTGCACACTGATGCCTCCCAATGACCAATACAAAGCAGCACATGATGCATATTTGTAAAACTCTTCACCTCCCCCATTTATAATACATCATTACATCATCTTTGTAAGTAACTGTTAAACTGATCACRTACCAGCCAGCAAGTGTCTTTGTGTTAAATTCCCATTTAATGTTGGGCAATGATTGCATTTTACCGAGCAAAGGGAGGACAGCTACATCACTTTAAAATTTATGCATTGTGATCTTGTATTTTTAACACAATAGTCAGAATTCCATARAAGCTAAAATAGAAATTAGTATACTCCTAATCCTTTAAAAATAATATAAATAAAATAATAAAGTGGAAATATCAATGTAAATAAAATTCTGTCTACTGTCTTATGGTATCCAGCAAAATATTTTGCTGTCTAAAGAGCTGGTTGTGTTTTTTAAGGAGATGTTTTTTAAGGAATGTCCTCTCATTCTGAGTAATTTCATGCTTTAAAAAACAGCATTCTCTGCATGTTCTTATCTCTTTCTTGTCTTTTTCCTGTCACAACTGTATTTAAATAAGACTACCATAAAGCCACTAATTTGTAAACACAGAATTTAAAAAAAAATCTATTTTAAGGAGCATCCTAAGAACCCAGGAAATGGACATCACCTTCCACAGGCAGTGCTTGGTTCAAGGTCAGACCACTGATCTTTCACCCGAACAACTTAAAGTGGTGTTTTTAGCACAGAATTTGTCTGCTAATATCAGTTCTTTTCTKTATGTTTGTATTGATAGAATGTAATGAGATTACATATATTCTGATGAATAATTGCTCCTTGTAAACTTGCCACCTACCTACAGCGACTCTTATGAATATTTGATGATAATCAGTAGTAGGAACTTCACTGTGCTGCATACATGCACTTAAAAACCCAGCAGCACAGGATTACCTTTAGCTCTGCCTTTTATTCTTGGGGTAAGCAGTATGATATGTATATTCATAAAAAATATTAGASACATCTAACATGTTCTTAATACTAGGAGTTCTGTTAAAATGCTAATTCTGTTGTTTTAGGAGGGAAAGGATGTAAAATGGAAGACAATTTTTAGCTTTTAAAGTTATATTTTAAGATGAGGCAGGGTTGACTGGCCACTTATGCTTCTAGCTTGAATTAGCAGAGAAAAAGGAAAAATCCGGTGAAGTACACTCACCATTTTGCAGATGCACACATACCGTACAATATGTCTAAAATTAGTCACCATGTAGGTCACCAGTATCCAGTATCACCTTACAGATCCTATAGGCAGTAGTTTTGTGTCATATTGCAAATTAGGCAATATCTGTCAGCAGCCGGCATCACCTTTATTATCTCTTTATCTGGTTTCTTTTTTTTGTAGATGTGTAATAGATCCTCAACTTGTATGTTATTTCCAGATATTTTTATATGAAGCTGGTATCAAAAACCACATTTCTGATTTAATTGTATTGAATTGTGATTCTTTGTTTTGTTTGCACATTTGAAAACTTAGTGCTTTCATCATCCAACTTGCTTTAAAGACCATTTTCGAAACAATTGCTGCATTTTGTGTAGTCACATATTTTTCCTTCTGAGACCTGCAGGGCCTGTTATGCAGCTAAAGTTTTCCTTACTCAAGTGATGASGACAACAGCAACAGCTTTGACATTTCATTTACTTAAAATAATCTGGCATAATAATAGAATTATTTTTTTTCTCAGTAGGTCCTGCATATGGACAGCGTAAAATCTGTAATTTTATTAATGCTCCTGTAGCAGTTTTCTTGAAAAGCAGTGCTATACAGAATTTTTTTTTTCTTTCAGGGAATCAGTTTTCTCCTGTTGCAGCTCAGGATCTCCAGTTTGTTCTGAAGTCTGGATACCTGGAAAAACGTAGAAAAGGTAAATCTATCTATCTTTGTGAAAGCTAGTGCATATTTAATGTCTGGGAAGTCTATATGTCTGTATTTGATGTTATACACATGAACAGCTTTTTACAGGAGTGATAAATAAAATGAGTAGAAGCTGAAATGTAGAAGCATTATTATGCAAAAGAAGCATAGCACATAATTGCTCCTATAGTATTAAAAGAAAATCCCATTTCTTTATTGACTAAAAAAATCATGCTGTGAAAGTCCAGTCAGCCATAATTCAGAGASTTTCAGATATTTTTGAAGAAAACATTAGGAACGTATGTACAAGTACCATATGTTGACTTCATGTTTCAGTGAGCATCAAGATTTATTTTCCTTCAAGAGGGCAAATATTGATCTCAGCTTTGGTTCAGTCAATATTTACCTTGATTCAATAAATCTTATATTGTCACTTTAATACCCACTTAATGCTGCGATAACTCTAGGAAATATTTAGGAAGTTGTTCATTATTTCCTTATATTTAATGTTACACATGACTCCCCTCTTTAGATGATTTCAATTTCCTATTTGTTTTCTTACCACCAATTTTTATTTCTAATTTCCTTCTCAGTGCCATGCATTTCCTTAGTTGCCTTTTCTTAGTGTCTTTCTTGGCTCCTCCTCCCTCTTACCTCACTCACCCTTGAAAAGAAGTAACATGTTTTTGTTCAATAATGGCATAAACTGATAAAACACAAATTGTATTAATTTCAGACCACAGTTTTCTTGGCTTTGAATGGCAGAAGCGTTGGTGTGCTATCAGCAAGACGGTCTTCTATTACTATGGAAGTGACAAAGGTACTTACAACAATTACTATAGAAATGTTTTAATGCACAAAAGAATATGAAAATGTTAGTGGAGTTGGAAACTGTGAATCAAAGGCAATTTTAAGAAATGGAATGCAACTTCTAAAAGAAAATTAATTTCTTTTAAACAATTCTTGAACAGTGCTGTGAATTTTGAAAACATATAAATATTCCTCAGAATCTCTAAGTGATATACATGCTTTCTAAAGCAGGGAAACTGAGGAAAAAAAGATTAAGTTTCTTGTAAAGCTACTTTGTTTGCCAATAAAAGCTGGCTGTTCCGTTTGATAGTATGCTGGCACTCAACTTTTTTACTAGATAGAAAATATTCTTTTCTTTCCAAATAGTGTATTAATTGTAAACCATCCTCTAGTAATTATACCTTCTGAATTCCTTAGAGATAATTCTATCCAGGAAAATATTAGTCTAAAAGCTGCATAGTGGAGTTCCTTGTATCTTTTAAAATAGTTTATGTTCTGGAAAAGCTAGAAATTAAGTAAGGTATTTAAGTAAAAACCAGCCATGGAAACTAAAGCAAACCTCTGAATGTGACTTTTAACTTTAAATGACCAGTTTGGAAAGAATCTGGCATAAATGTTGTGATACTACTTTGAATTTTTAGAATTGATAGCCAAATAAAATATATTTAAATGGTGTGCCATATGCATTTGATGTTTAAGGGTAAACTAAATGATACAGAAGTATATCAGAGTGAATTTTAAAAGTACAATAATATCTTCCCCCACCTCTTTGCCCCTCTTCCTCCTTCCCAGAAAAAAAAAAAAAATCTGGGGTAAACTTTCCATTAAGTTCTTCTAAAGTTTTTTATCTTTCTTTTTTTAATTTGTCTTTTTATTTTTGAAACTACTGCAGACAGTGATTATGTGCCGTTCTTTAATTCAAAAACTAATATAATTTGCTCCAGTTTGTTTCATTTCTTTGTATATTCACTYATTTAAGCTCACCTTGTCTTTAAAAACATGAGAAATAGAGAGCCTAATTTTAAGCCCAGTTTTCATTTTGTTAGTTTACCATCATGTCCTTCTTTCAGAGTTGTGTCAGTGTATCTGCAAAATGTTCTCTTTTCTTCTTTAGTCTTTCCTTGGGATTGCAGATTCACCAACATGAACAATCTTTATTCAAAAATTCCGAGGTGTGGCATAATACTGATTTGTCAGTACTGACTGATTTGTTTCTCTGGAAAATGTTCATGTGCTGTTTATATATATAGTTATACATTGYGTAGTACTTTAAAAATGGCCATTTTTCTTCCTGAATATCTTGCTACTTTATAAAAATTGTTCTTGGTTATAAAATATCTGTGGTTTTGTCTGCTATTTTATTAGAAGAAAAAAGGTTTGATTTTATTTTACATTCTTTTCCTTGTG